ACACAGGACGCTCACATGCAATGAACCGGCGCATTCAGTATAGAATATATTCCTATTGAAGGAACGTGCTGCAAAAATCAAGTTGTATGAAGCGCTGAGGAAGTCGATGAGATGTAACACGTAGGGAGGAGTCCAGGTCACATTACGGAGAGTAAAACAGGAAGAGATACAATGGTGTTGAAGGCTTCGTTTGGGTTGACTTTTGCAGTTTATAAACCATTAGTAACCAATAGGGATGCACCGATACCACTTTTTTGGGTCTGAGTACGAGTACCGATACTTTTTTTTTAACAATGCTCCTCAGCAATGTGCCCCTATGCACCACACCACGGGTGAGTTGGGTTCATTGTGAGCCAATGCTTGACCCCGACCCAAAGCTCATCCCTACCCAATGTACAGGACAAGAGAAGTTGTACTGTGCAACATCCATCCATACAGAAGAAGGATAAATACGAAGTAATTAAGTATAAAAGAACAGTTAGTGAAAGTGAAAGTAACATTTTCCTCTTCTGGGAAATCTCCTATTTCCAGGAATATCCCCCACAGCCAAGCACAGACGCCATCCTTACTACAAGAACAAACAGCTTATGGCAGATTCAGGATGGCAGTCTCTTATGTAAACTAGTAGTAAAGGTGCCCACACACCTTACAATTATCTGCAGATTTTCTGTGGTCAGATGGAAAAAGTGCAACAGATTGGCCCAGGTGGAGATTACTCCATCCACACAGTTAAGTGTAGATGGAGGAATCTGTTGCACCTTTTCCATCTGACCACAGAAAATTGTAAGGTGTATGGGCAGCTTAAGTCCCTGGAAACAGTGATCCATTGAGAAGAGCGAGTCAGAGGTGTTATAAGCGATATAGCAGCAGCTTGTTCTGAATCTAAGGCAGACGTAAGTGCTGCTGTAATATCCCGCTCTGATAAAGACAAGAGCGTACTGCCAAGTTCCAAGGTATGGATTGGAGTCTAATGCTGGGCACACACCTTACAACCATCAGTTTGTCATTTGGCAGTTAAAATCATATAGGCACATATATCTAATACAATTAAACAAATACAAATGAATCGCATATATGAGCCTTAAAGCAAATAAGGCATAAAAAAGATCTACACACACAAAAAAAAAACCCAACAAAAACAAAAAGAGTCCCAAAAACAAAAAACAATGGTGATCAATCAAGAAAATTCCTCAGATGATTCACAGCCAGTCTGCATATAACTCTCAGGTAAGGATAATCACACAATGCAGGCAGACCTTCACCTCCACCAAGTGAATGCTCACCTGGGGAGGTAGACCCACAGAGCTAGGTCAGATGCGCTTTTCCCCTTCTTAATGGGGGAGGGTAGCCATGCACAGTAAAGGTGATAAGGTCTCCTCAGATCACAGGTACAAGCACAAATACAGGAGGAAAGAGAAAAAGGACAAGGACATAGTGTGTAACGTTCAATAAAATGCAATTTAATAAATTAAAAATGCGTACTCACAATGGTGTAAACAGTACAGGCATTGAGTATTGCTGGATCAGACCAGCAGGGCAAATGGCAGCAAAGCGATGAAATGCACGTTTGTCCGGCTCATCTCAGTCATCACATTTGTCTGTCTGTCTCTGTGTGCGAGCATATTACTGAGAAAATGCATCGGGTGTGCCTGCGTACAAAAATGACGATCGCGATGCACATGTTGGGTATCGCCACGTGGACAGGTGACACTAGGGGTCTTTTAAACCACTAGTGTCACCTTAAAGAGGACCCATCACCTCCAATGTGCTATCACATAGGGGGCTTGAATTTGCGCTACACATGTTGGGTATCGTCATGTGTTCCAGAGGGAGAGCAATAATTCTAGTGCCAATATTCACAGGTATCTCTAAACTAATGACCTGTACGGGCTTTTACAGCATCGCCTATTGACAATTTGGGGTACTGTATTTTGTCGCCTTTTCACGGACGCGCGTCATTTTAACCCGGGCATGTTGGATATCTATTTACTTTTCGTAACCTCATCTTTTATATTTTAGAAACAATTGGGTATGATTTTGTGTTTTTGGGCACTAAAATTAACTTAAGTTCATTTTTTTATTCATTTTTGGGTTTGATGAAGACTTGCGTACAACATAAATATTTTGAATTGCAACCATTATATTCTACGGGATCTCAGCTTTCCGAAAATATATAATGTTTAGGGGCTTTAAGTAATTTCCAGGACTAAAATGTGGATTTTAGCGAAAGGGTTAACACACGCCTCTCAGCTCACAGTATGTACCTAATGACTGTTTTAGGTCTCATGAAGCTTGTTTCCCAGCTTCAGGGAAAGTAAACTAGATGGTGTCTTCCAGTGACGTGCCCCCAGCCTGTCAAAGCTCCGCCCGTCCCGCTAAAGCCACTCCCCCAGCTTGGTAACCAACCTGCGTGGGGAGGAGGAAGGGAGGAGACAGGGAGGAGCCTCCCTGTCCCTCACTGGTGAGTCACTGGTGAGACATTGAGATTGATGTCCTCACTGTTTTATTTTCATTGGACAGCTTGGACCAATGGCGCTTTGCCATTGGTCCAAGCCATCCACAGAGCTCAAGCCTCTAAAACAGAGTAGAGGCATTACAATACACAGGCAGTAAATACGAAAATCCGTTGACGTATTTTCGTTCCGTTACGAACATTCGTTATATTGAAGTTAAAAAGCAAAATACCTTTGTTAATATATTGGAGTAGTTTTTTTTATACGAAATACGAAATTCGGACCTGGAATCCGTTAACGGAATTCGTATTTCGGATAAAAAAAACAACTACCACATCGACTCCAATATTAACAAAGGTATTTTGATTTTTAACTTCATCATAACGAATGTTCGTACAGTTACGAAAATATAACAGCCACTAACGAAATTTCGTATTTCGTACGAATCCGAATTGAGTTCAGTTATTACGAAATACGAAATAACAGATATTCTGAAACGAAACGAAACAGAACACATTTTTTGACGGCACACAAGTCTACTGCTGTGTAACCAGTGCTGACGCTACTATACAGGCAGCACAAGCAGCTGCTTGAGGGCGCTAGCTGGGGAGGGTGGAAAAACACCACCTCCCATTCACAGGAGCAGCGGCATGGATGGGGCTCTGAGCTTCAGTCTTCTTTAGCCCGAGCTATATTGCTTCCCTCTGCTGTGTGATCTTTCCGGAGCCTGCTGGAAGCCTGCACTCTCTCTGAAGTTGTCACCCGCCGCCACATTGACATATGAATGTGAATACTTTTGTTTCATTGGTGGTCATGGCAAATACTCCCATTACTGTTAGGTATGTTATTTTTTGTGAAAATCTATTGTCCTTGTATTGGGGTGCTCCATGGTAATAGACATGGGATGGCTTTACATATATGGCTTCAGAAGATGATGGTCATTCGTTTCCCAAATTCTGGATATGTTTAGTGTGAGCTGTAACATGGACATCTCTGTTATGCTTTCTGGAGTGGTACACTTTGGGGGGTGTCTTTGTATTGGGGAGCTCCACAGTAAACTATTTGGGGTGCCATTGCTTGTGGCTTCTCATATACAGCATTAGTAGCTGATGGTCTTCCTTTTCTCTAAATGCTTCTGAGATAATTGGTTTGACCTGTAACATGGATATTTCAGATCTCCTATTAGTTTTGGAGCGCTGCTTTATGGGATGTCTTTGCAGTGCTAGCACTACCATAAGACTGCCTGAGGGTGCGCGGGGGGGGGGGCACCTTCGCCTGTGTAGGCAAAAATCCTTGCACTGGCCCTGTGTGCAGGCCCGGATTCCCCACCAGGCCGGCGGCACGTAGCAGAGGGGCGGCAGCGCCGTGCAGTCCCCCGACGCCCGGAGCATGTAGTTCTGGGCACCGGGCGGTAAGTGGGGAATCCAGCCGTTCGTTTACAAGTGATTGCGGCGATGTCGCCACGATCACTTGTAATATGTGTGCAGTCCCCTCCCCCGCACTCCGCTGGTCTTAGCTCCGCCCATGGCAGGTTACACAGCGGGGAGGATTTCACTGATATGTAACCTGTAACAAACCAATCTGAATAGAAAAAAAGCTGTCAGCTTCAGACTTGAAGCTGCCAGCTTTTTCCTCCATAATACTAGGTGAGGCTCTGCCCCCCCTGCCTCCGCTGACCGCAGGTCTCTGCTGTCTTCATCTCCTGCTGTGTCCAATGGTTAGTGTATACTCTCCTAGAGGGAAATAAACATTAAATCCTCAGTGCTCCCCAATTAAGCATCATTTATTAAAAAATAAAAACACTCGGAACACTCACATGTAAATGAACCGGCGCATTCAGTATAGAATATATTCTTAGAGAAGGAACTGGGAAACAGGACAGGGGAAGTGGTACTGTGCAGAGTCCATACATACAGAATAAGAACAGATACTGAGAATGACACCCGGCATACAGGACAAGGGAAGTGGTACTGTGCAGAGTCCATACATACAGAATAAGAACAGATACTGAGAATGTCACCGTCATACAGGACAAGAGAAGTGGTACTGTGCAGAGTCCATACATACAGAATAAGAACAGATACTGAGACTGACACCCGGCATACAGGACAAGAGAAGTGGTACTGTGCCGAGTCCATACATACAGAATAAGAACAGATACTGAGACTGACACCCGGCATACAGGACAAGAGAAGTGGTACTGTGCCGAGTCCATACATACAGAATAAGAACAGATACTGAGACTGACACCCGGCATACAGGACAAGAGAAGTGGTACTGTGCCGAGTCCATACATACAGAATAAGAACAGATACTGAGACTGACACCCGGCATACAGGACAAGAGAAGTGGTACTGTGCCGAGTCCATACATACAGAATAAGAACAGATACTGAGACTGACACCCGGCATACAGGACAAGAGAAGTGGTACTGTGCAGAGTCCATACATGCAGAAGAAGGATAAATACTCAGCAAGGACGTGTACCAGAATAGTTAGTGAAAGTGAAAGTAACATTTTCCTCTTCTGGGAAATCTCCCATTTCCAGGAACGTCCCCCCACTTCCCCCATCCCAACCAGGAGGATATATAAAGCCGCTGCAATGCATCTTCACAAAGAAAAGAGCTCCGGAGAAATCACTGACACGCCGTCGTCTGCTCACATTCCAGGTAATTGGAACTGATCCTTCCTATTCCGTCTTTCTACAATCCTGACCATGTGTTAGCACTGGATATGTATAGATAGATGTATATTCTGATCATGTGACGACGTTTAGGAAAGACTCAGCTGTACACAAGGAGCAAATCATGCGCACAAAGCACATTCATTTTCACTTATTGTACTGAATGTAGGGGACTCTAAACTCAGGAATTGAATCCTAAAAAATCCCTCCAAGTCCCTGAACTCTGAACACCAATGTATCTTATTTGTGTATCACTCGGCTGTAGATCCTCCAATCATCTCTGACACTGTCCTTCCTTCTGGAGGGGGGCTACGTCTGTTCCCCATGGTCCATGTGTGTGTTGTAAAGTAGTCACCGCTCCAAGCTCCGCCCCCCGGGATGGACTACAATCTCAATACAAATCATGACTGATGGATTCGTCAATTTTTCGACCCTCCGTTAAAAACCCCAGTAAACACACGGACTGCGCGACATGGATTTCAACGGCCACAGCAGCCCTTTTATTAAACAAACAACTTTAACAAAAACCAAAGTAATAAACCAATATACAAAAATACTTTAAACAATGGTTGACCTGAGAAGGGGTCTTTGGGTGCCCGCCAGCCCAAAAAGGAATATATTGTTAAGATTTAATTCAGGAGTTTAGCGTCACTTTCATTTAATACAATACGTGAAAATGAATTTGATAGTGAACATGATGTGCTTCTTCTGTAAAGCTGAGCCTTTCCTAAACATCGTCAGATGATATGGATATACATCTAACCATCAATAATCTGAATATACTGCTACTGAGTTTAGTGTCACTTGAAGAGAAACAAAGTCAACACTCACATAGCAGAGAATATCCAAGAAGATCTGCTCTGAATTTTGCTGTGTGGAATCCCTGATATGAGTCTTCCTCTCTCTCTTCGTGTCATGCAATTCTGTTTTCCATACAGTGCAATCTAGACTTTTAGAAGTTAATAAAAGTATAAAAAATATTCCAATATTTTAAATTTATTTTTTGGGGACACTAGGGTAAGGTTGAAAAGGTATTAGATCAGACAGCTATTTATTGTTGGAATTTTACTGGTAACACAATATTATTCTTTAAATGATCATTTTCATTAAAAAATATTTTTTAACAGGTTAACATGTAATATATATATATATACATGAAACAAGCATGTAACATATTGTTGGAATTTTACTGGTAACACAATATTATTCTTTAAATGATCATTTTCATTAAAAAATATTTTTTAACAGGTTAACATGTAATATATATATATATACAAGAAACAAGCATGTATCCCCAACAACAAGTTAATAAAAGCTTCATACTACATGAGAGATTTGTCTCATTATCCACCTGGACATCCTAATGACATGATTTGCAGGCTTAATCATATAAATATAAAATATACATACAGTTCATACCTTAACTAACTCCCCATATGTAACAACCATTTCCTTCTTAATAACAAAACATAGATCCAAAGGTGCCCAGACTTTGACATGCAGCCATTACTTTTAAGCAATTTCACCACGGGTCCTGATTTTAAATACAGAGGCGTCTCCGCTGTCACTGCTAGAAAAATAAATACAGAAATCCTGATAAACCAGATGTCTCTCCTTTTCCCTTTGGGCTATATAGCTATACGTATATACTGTATATCCTGTGCATCGTTCCCCTCACAAAACCTTATAAGGATACCCATATCCTTCTTATCTCCCTTAATGTCTAATAGTATACACCCCACTATCCACCATGGCATGGCACCTAACAACTTGTTCTTGTTTAGAATCAAGTACATCACCACCCCATTATTTTTATTCAGTACCTCAAATCAGCTTTACATCCAGCCATCCGCTTCCCCTTCCATATAGGTTTACACATATTGAGTGATGTGGTTCTTGTGGGTCTCCCCGTGGATGTCTGACATCCATAGCTCTCATCTCCCCATTCTTATATGTGCCTGCATGGGCACTGAGACTGCGCATGCTCCAATTTCTACAGGAGCAAACATGCTCTGCTTAATCCTATTTCTGGTGCATCACTAACGATTTTTCGGACTACATCATCATTCCTTAATAAATACCAGTATTTACCTACATTTTCTATAACTATTTTATGCTGTGTGGAGAATTTG